AAATAGTAATAATAATAACAATAATAATAATAGAATTCACAATTATGCTTAATAATGATTTTTAAATGGGTTTAATAGGCTATATCATGCAGCCTTGGGAAACGGTCTAATAATGTGTTTTATAGATTCTCGTCCGTGAAATGCGCCACTTCCGGTATTTTGCCGGTTAGTCGAGGGCTAAAAAAAAAAAAATCAAAAAGTCGAATAAAAAAAGTAAACTATGAATATATTACCCTAGAAAGTGCTGCCCTACCAGTACCACAATTTCTGACTGCCCCCCCCAGTCCAGCAAACCTAGTACTGGGCCTGATCCTCATACTCATGAGAATGAACACAGGACATAAACTGATATTTCAGATGTTGTACCGTTCATGGAAGTACGACACAATCGCAGGTTTCAAGCGATACAGTATATGCAAGTATTAAACATGTGCAACCTCTAATTTTACACATAACAGGGTCAACAACGGTATTACCAAAATATTTTGTTCTGATTTCATTGTAACTTCTATTTAATATGCTCTAGGAAGATGTTTGAGCTGTCCATTAACAGAGAGACAGAATGTTTCACAGACTGAAGAGTGCAGCGCCAGGGGAATATACCATTGATCGAAGAGAGGGGTATACCACATCAGCAACACAAAAGAACAGAACACATTCTTCTAAACAAACACATGCAGTACAAGAAAGTAGTGTGATTATAATGTTCAATAAACACCAAGATTAAATGCTGTGTATAAAAATATCGCAATTTCCATTCTGCAATAATTTTATATATACTCCCAACCCCTCCCCCATAATGAAACGATGGATCATCTCTTACCCAGTCTTTCTGCACTTGGTTTGATGAATTATAACACTTTTAAACCATTACATTAGGCTAGTATTTTCACAGTAAAGTGCCCAGTGAACACTCTTCACCACAGTGGTAAACCCTGGAACTTCAACATTCTGTAACAAAGGACATTTATTACTAGGGTGTACTCACACTAGGCGTTTTGAACCAAACATTAGAAGAACATTAAAGGGGTCATATGATGTTGCTAAAAATAACATTATTTTGTGTATTTGGTGTAATGAAATGTGTTTATGCTGTTTAAGGTTAAAAAACACATTATTTTCCACATACTGTACATTATTGTTTCTTCTCTATGCCCCGCCTTTCTGAAACGCGTAGATTTTTACAAAGCTCACCGGTCTGAAAAGCGAGGTGTGCTCTGATTGGCCAGCTATCCAGTGTGCTGTGATTGGCCGAATACCTCAAGCGTGTGACGGAAATGTTACGCCCCTTACCATATGCCCTGTCCGGCCGGAGCGACGAGACAAAAACATTAAAACCCATTATAAACGAGCCATAAGATCAGCTCCAGGCATGACGAAGCGGATATCGACCTCTTTTGGAAGACCAAACAAAGTAGCTTCGCTTTCACAACGAAACACACAGTGCCTTCAAGACATGACGGCGGCGGCAACAACAAAACTACAGTGAGAATAAAAGTTACGCCTTCTTTCTTTGCGTGAACATTTGGGCGGCGTTATGCAAATCTTCCCACATCGTGACGTAGGTATGTGGGGGCGTGTTAGAACGAGCCTCTTAACTTTTATAAAGAATATCTCTTTGGATTTGAGACTTTAGTCTTTGCAACTTTACAGATCTTCTTTATGCACCAAGAGCTTGTAACACTCCAAAGAGAAAGGAAAACTTGAAATCGCATCATATGACCCCTTTAAACAATTCTCCGCCTTTTTCACCTTGCTGCAGGAGACATAAAGCATTGCTTGGTTTCAACAGTTTACCCTTCCCATAAATTCCTGTGAAAGGCTTGCTCAATCTCATGCCCATTTTCAGTTAATTGCAACTACAATTATTCACACAAATGGATTAACTAAACATCTCTTTTACACATTTAAGTGGATGACCACAATGAAATTAGGTTATGACAAAATATTAACTAATTGAGTCAATTAGAATGAAGAATTACGTTTAGAAATGTAACATGAGACACAGATACACATCTCACTGTTTTTCCAGCATCTCACAACCCCTGTGAACTGCAAATCAGCTTTTCTATGATATGCTTTATCTTAAAGGGAAAGTGAAAATGACTCAATAAAAGTTTTTTATTGAGCACTAAGGTGTGTTGTATAACAATAGATGTGAAAAACACACATACACTGTAACTGCTTTGAATAAAAGTGTCTGCAAAATGCATGCTCAATGTAAATTGTTAATGATAACTTTTATGATAATAAAACAATTCATCATCATTGTGGTTCACTCAATCTTAATTTTGAGCAGTGTGTCATCAGAGGTGCATTCTTCATAAGAGAGGTGCATTCTTCATCAGTGAGTGAGACCCTGGTGATACACAAGGACAAGCATATCATATTAGTACAATGTCAAATTAGATAATTACTGTACATATGACTGTACATTCCTGCTAACATCTACAGAAAGTTATTTTTATTTGTTTTAGTTGTTTATTTGTTTACTTTAACTGCAATAGACACTGACTGCAAGGCATTCAGCTCATTTGGAATACTCAAATACCGTGATTCCCTTCTTGGACCTTCAAGGATTGATCCACAGGTTCAATATGGTTAGGAGCAGGTCTAGGGGTGGGTTTTAGGGATAGTGACGAGTACAGTACCTAACAAGGCAACATCCATGTATGTTAATGAAAATTATCATATACACTGATTATTGTTATTATTACTTACTGTTTTATAATGTACAATACAATTAAGTGTATTAAATAATATCTCTCATTAACATCTAATACAAATAGCCTCTGCAAAAAGAAAAGGAAGACAAAGAAAACTCAAACATAAACAGATGTTTAGGAAATGGAGGGGGGAAACGTTAAGAGAACATAGACCCATCTTTCTCTAACATTACAATGAATGTAAATATTCAAATTATTACATCATATATTTGTAAACTGTAAAATGTTTGAAGCAGAACTATCATGACAGCGCCATAACTTTTATTTTGACAGCGCTAGAAAACAACACCTGTTTTACGATGGAAATGTTAAATGACACAACAGCTATATTCAGTGATGCTTGACCTTTTCTCAGAATATGGGACTTTGAGAGAGAGGGGGGGTACAAACAATGAAGCTAGTTAGAGTTTAGTTACTTAAAACAGTGACTTTATCCCCTTGTTGCCGGGAAATATAATGTAGCACATAGGCGCACAGTGTGTAAGGCTGGGCAAGGCTTAGCCTTTCCGCCATGAGTTGGAAATTTGCTGAGCATTATAGCCAACAGACTGTTAAGCGCATGAATGCAGTGATCTTGTCATTGCACTTTCACAAATGCTTGCATCATACAGTGTAAATAAGAGATTCATAGTGAAGTGTAGACTGCGTCATTGAATATAAACTTGTGCTATGTGATTGACAGCTCCAGTAAGAGAGCATTCTTTGATCACTTTCTGTAGGTTATATCATTTTAATAACAGATTATTATCATGCTACTAAGAAACAGTTTACCATTTCCGTGTAGTTTACTGTTAAGTTACTGGCTTGATTTAGCCTACAGAGGCGGGCTTTCATTGCACAATGAAGAAACATTTGAAACAGTTCGTTTTCTGAGCTTGGTTTCAATAAAAAGATGTTTTTGGACCAATGAGTAAGTTTTGAGCTCTGAAACTTACAGGATGTTTTATAGTAAAATGACTTCTTACATGTCAAAACATCAAGAAAAAATGGATTTCCCAATTCATGACCGCTTTAAATTCAAAACTTTTTTTTTTTAATAATAATTATTTTTATTGAATTTTCACAGTAATACAAAAATAACAAGACATCGCCCAAAGCAAACAAACAAAAACACACACACACACACACACACACACACACACACAAAGCTTGGATTTTTTTATAAAACAGGACTACCCCATATATAACAGATTAGGGAACAAGGGGGAAAAAATGAATAGAGCAGAAAACTTAAATGTCCAGAGAGTTACACAATTACAATATTCCTTGTAGTATAATAGGGCAAAGATGAGATTCCATATAGTCTAGATATGGAGTCCAGACTTTATAAAACATATTTAAAACCCCTGCACAATATTCCCATTGTCACACAACCCAAGACAACTAAGGAAATAGGAACTAAACACAGGAAACAAAGGATGAAATAAAATAAATGTGACAATCCTAGGCTACAACACATTAAAAACATATATGCATTAATCACAGATACATGAGCTAAAAGCAAACAGGTTTCCAGAAACAGCAACAACAGTTGCACATATGACTGCCTTGAGTTTACTTCAATCTTACCATTAAAAGGTTTTCTTTCTGACTCATCAAGAGAAGAATTTATTAATGATAATCATCAAAATAGTATAAATAAACTCACAAGTTGCTGTTCTTGTGCCTAAGTCTCATTTCATTCAGTCTTGATCTTGATCTCACACTCAGTCTCTGACCTTGCTGCTCTGATGTTTTTTGGATTTGGATAGCTACTTATCAGCTTAACATAAACTTGAGCTGCACTCTTTTACATTTAAAAACACTCAAATCTCTCTCCACTCTGATTGGTTCTTTTTGTATCAGCAGCCAATGAGCTTGCTGCTCAACATTCAAATACTTGGCTAACACTTGCTGAAGCACTTGAGGTGAGCTTCAGAAATCCTCCACCTTCCCCAGCTCCACCTGTATAGATCTGCTACGGGGTGATTCATGTATGCTATATATGGCGGTTATTTCATATATGTTATATGTGCAGCAGCAGTATTTCTTACATGCTCACAGCAGCATGATGTGGATGTATTGGCAGTAGCAAATATCAGTACTTGCTCTGCAGCGTAGCAGATCTATTTCGCCAAGACCATACATTAACATTGTCATGTACATTATGTCAAACCCTCTGAGAGTTGTCATGATAGAAATATATATACAGTACGGCAGTCCTTATTTATTCTTGGTATTAGAGCATGTCTTTTTTTTCAGTTTCTCCGTTTTTTGTGTTTATCCATAGGTTCTCACTCACTGATGGCTTTTGCAACATATATATTTGGACAAACACCATTTCCTGAGTTCAGTGTTGTGCTGATGTTGGATGATGTGCAAATAGGATATTATGACTCGATCACATGGAGTGTTGTATATCGCAGTTCAAGTGATTCAAAGTACCAAAATGAAGAGAAAAGTGATGCTGATATTGTAATTCTCGATATGTATAACAGCATGAAAGAGCGTGCAGTTTATTTTAAGAAGCATCTAAATCACACAAATGGTGAGTGCTGGCCAACACATTGATTATATTACACATAACTTTGATAACAAATGCAGAGTTTGTACATGTTTAAGATTTTGATGTTTAAGCGAGAAAAGTACATTTGAGACGGTTATGTTAAGTATTTTCAGTCTACATCTTGTATGAATATTTTCAGTGAAGACTAGTAGTAAGTCTTTTAAGAAACTAATTTTCTTTCTGTTCATTTGAAGGTGTACATGTTCAACAGAGACTTGCTGGATGTGAACTGTTGGATGATGATAAACCAGGTCTACTGCAGAGATGGGATGCTTTTAATGGACAAGAAATAGGAGAATACACATTTGACACAGAAAAAAATGTCCAGACAAAAATAATATGGGGGCCATGGGGCCAAATAACAAGACTTTATATGAAGTTTCTGATAAAAAATATATATCAACCTATTTGCATTAAAGTTTTGCGTAGGTACTTGTACATGAAAAAGAACAGTGTAATGAGAAAAGGTGAGAGAATCAACCCAATTAACATCAGCATAATTACTTACTCATGCAATGAGCCCAAAACTTTAATGTTAACACATAAACAGTAACACTTCTCATTTTTCTCTGTATAGTTAAACCCAAAGTCAGGCTCATGAAGAAGACACTCACAGACTCTCAAGGGCTTCAGATCAGCTGTCTGGCCACTGGTTTTTACCCCCGTCACATTAACCTGACCCTGTTCAGAGATGGTCAGCCTGTGGATGATGATCAGATCACAGGAGGAGAGATTCTGCCCAACGGAGACGGAACGTACCAGATGAGGAAGAGTTTGGTGATCAGTGAAGAAGAGCTACATGAGGAACATAAATACAACTGCACAATGAAGCACCTCAATCTGGACAACAAACTGGACATTACATTTGGTAAAGAAAAACTAATAAACAATCAAAAATGCAACAGGTTTAATAAATAAAAAAACATCTTTATCTGTCCATTATCTTACTGTTTTTTTTTTGTTATTACTTTTTAAATTCACCACATTGTCAGATGTGGCTGAATATGAGCCAGGATCACCTACTCATTCTGTAGTTTTCAGTGTGCTGGTGTTCATGTGTGTGGCTGTTGTCATCATAACTGCACTCATCATATGGAGGAAGAGACGTACTGCAGGTAAATGTTCTGTTCAGACAAGTTCATTCCTTTAGAGACCTCTTTCAAAGTTCACTGTATGCAGTTTCATGTTTCTGTAGTGTTACTCTGTATTCATCATGGATATGGTTTGACTGTGTCATTCTTATTCAGGACAAGGATTCAAGAAGTCACAAAGTGATTACTCTCTTACTGCATGTGAGTACACTTTTTTATAAAGTAATATGAATGCAGCATGTTAATTCTTTGGTTAATTTTGGAAACTTTCTGGAAATGACAACCTTTTTTTTTTCTTCTTCATTTCAGCTTCCACCCATGATTAAACATGACAAGTGAGTCTATGGTCCTATATTAAAGTCGAGACAATATACTTTGCAACATAAAAATGAGCCCATGTGGTCTGAAATCATATTGTTTAAAGTGCCCCTATTATTCAATTTTTAAGGTTCCTAAAATTGTTTTGGGGGTTTAGGTTTTCATGCATCAAGGTCAAAAAAATGCTTTAATTTTCTCAAAATATGCATTTAATATCACCTCGTTTTCCAACAATTCTCAAACGATTCTCATTCTTCCAACAGTTCCAAGATTCAGTCTCTCTAAACCCCTCCTTTCCGTGAGCCTACTCTGCTCTGATTGGTCAGATGGCCCAGTCTGTTGTGATTGGTCTACAGTACTGCGTACAGCACGTGTCGGAAACAATACGCTCATTGCCATAATTCTGTTTTTCTGAATGCTCAATAGACAATATAAACATGTCTTATTTACAGTACCATACTTACAAGTTGTGATTCAGTGGAGCCAGCTGGTCCAAATAAACTGGGTACTAAGCCATCTTTCAAGAGCATGCATTTTGTGAATCCGGCATTGAACCGAGATTAGAGAAGCAGTTGTCAGTAAAATGACGGGAATAGAATACAATAAATAAATACATAAATAAAGATTAGGATTGTACTGCTGTGATACAGTGGAAAAAATGAATGGAGTGGAAACGCACCCCAGGCTAGATTGTGATGCTCTTTATTCTGGAATTAGCCAGTCCTTACTGTCATGTCTACAACGGGTACAGAATGCCACAGCTCGTTTTTTGACAGGGACAAAAAGCAGGGAGCATATTATTTGAGCAAAGTAGTTTATTTTAAGGCTATGGTATTTGTATTTCAAGCACTGCATGGTCTTGCTCCTACCTACATCTCAGATTTTCTTCATCCTTATTCGTCCCAGAGAATGCTTAGATCATCTTAGTTGTTATTGACCATTCTAAAATCTATTTGTTCTAAGGCTTTCTTTTGTATGGTGATATACCAGATAGTACTGAAAGCAAAGGTTTGCATACTTTCACAACATACAGATATGTAACACTGAATCACTTTTCTCAATAAATAATGAGTTGACTGTTCCTTTAACATTACACTTTATGGCTTTGCTTTGCTTCGCAGAATGGTAAAACGTACCCAAACGCCTATCACACATATTAATGAACAATATCACAATATCAGAACAATATCAGAAAAAATTGAAATTGTATATATTAAATAAAAGTGCCCTCTAGTGCATATTTACCTGCTAACCCATTGCCTTTAACTTGAAACCTAAATGTTCTTACATTCTTATCATATAATTTTACCAAGCTCTGCTATATTATTTAAGTACTTATCATTTGCACATATTGCCATAAACTTGTGATTTCACATGTTCACTCTTCAACAGACTGTATCAGTTTTCAATAGTGCACTGGTAGTGCACTGAGCAAAGGCCACTATTAAAAAAATATAACTTAACTACAATGCCGCAAAACCAAGATGACAACTGACATAATATTTCTTATGTAGTTTCTTTCCCTTAAACCAGGGTAGGTTGGTAAGGTGTGCTTTGCTCATATGTTGAAATAAAATGTCCACAAAGCTTCTTAACATGGTGAGAACAAACAACATTTACAATAAAAGCATGTGGAGCTATGGTAAAAAACATTTGTTTCTGCACCCGTACCTGACCAATACAACCTTGAGGGAAAGTTCATATGTGATGTTGAACAGGTGACCTGCATCAACTCACAAAGTGCATATTTCCCTCTAGTGGTGAAATAATTATTACATTTTTGGCTCCTCCATCTTATTTTAAGAAACTCTTTAAGAAACTTTTATTTTAAGAAGCTAAGCATGTTTCCTCAGAATGACTTGTTCTCCACATGTAAAAAGTTTTGAGGAGTTTGAACAACTCACTTTAAAGATGCAAGACAATTCCTGTTGCCTTTGCAAATGTCACTTTTACATGTTGTTTGAACATAAATGTGTGTTGCCAGTGTGTGTACACAACCACCCTATAATGATAAAAATCTGCCCGCACCTTAAATCATAAGCAGTGCAAGCCGATCACAGAATCCGTAAAAGGTGACATCACATTTTACAAGCCCCGCCCACAACTGTTAACTGACACTGCCGTATTAGCCGAGCCTCCTCCCTGAGTGAGCTGCACACAATCCGCCATGTTTATGTTCACGCTAGAGCAGGGCTATTCAATTAGTTTCATTTGAGGGCCGGATTATCGAATTGAAATTTTGAAGGGGGCCAAGGGGGTGGGTGGCCGTCCCAATCTCTTTCTGAGGGGCCTATAAAATTAGAAATTACATTTAAATGCATATCCAGCAGTAAAATGAATTAATATTATCAACACCAACATCTATAAAAGGTTAACATTAGTGCTAATTATTCACACATTTTTCTGTAATTAATTGTGATTAACTGCATATTAATATATTTATATTGTCATAATTTCACATTGAACCTCCAAATTAACATTTAGTAGGTTCTGAAAAATATAATTTTTAACTTTTAATTTAAGTGAAATTAAAACAATCTTCACATAAACTATAAATTGTATATGCATAAACTATATAGATCTATCTTTATGCAAGCTACAAAACTTAATCAGCGACTAGAGCAGTCGAGTGATTTCTTTTTCTTTTGTTCTGTAATTTACAAATTAATGTACGACCTGCGCGTACTTTTCCCTCGGGCCGGATGAAGATGAATGGCTGGCCGGATTTGGCCCACGGGCCGCCAATTGAATAGCCCTGCGCTAGAGCATTTAAAAGCAGCATTGAAGTAAGAAATGTCTTCTTATTAAAGCTATAGACGTTATTCTAGACAAGCAGTGAGTGATTTTCTGCTTTTATTTTATTGTTTGGGTCATATTAACAGTGTATAGACAGTAGTATAAAAAATGCTGGGTTGTGTCACAGTACAGAAACTGCTTTGGTAAAAGTTGTGAACGATTTACTGATGGCAGCTGACTCTGGGTTGGGGGTTGTTTTAATTATGCTGGATCTCAGTGCTGCATTCGACACTGTTGATCATGCGATCCTTTTAAAATGTTTGGAGTGTGATGTAGGCATCAAAGGAACAGCTTTAAAATGGTTTCATTCATATCGGCATGATAGAAAATGTTTTGTTAATTTCGCAAATACTTCATCTTCTGTGGCTCCTTTAAAATATGGTCTTCCTCAAGGTTCTATTCTGGGCCCATTATTTTCATTGTACATCTGCCCACTTGGATCTATATGTCATTGCTATGACATTTCCTGTCATATGTATGCTGATGACACTCAGATATATTTACCACTTAAAGTCGGAAACGAGCACTTGCTACAGTCCCTGTTACTCTGTCTGGAAGAGGTCAAATTTTTGTTGTCTAAAAATTTTCTTCAGCTTAATGAAAAAAAATCTGAGATAATTATTTTTGGTCCACCAAAATTTAAAGAGATGATTTACAGTACTATTGCTCCTTTAGAATTAACTATAAAAAACAGTGTAAGAAAACTGGGTATCATAATTGACTCAACTCTCAGCTTGGAAAATCGGTAAAGTCGGAAGTAAAGAGTAGTTTTTACCAATTTAGGATGATCTCCAGGTTAAAACCCATTCTTAGTTTTAAAGATTTAGAGACCATTGTCCATGCATTTATTACCTCGAGATTAGATTATTGCAATTCTCTTTATGTTGGGATCTGTCAGCGACAACTATCTCGTCTGCAAATGGTACAGAATGCTGCAGCCAGGCTTTTGACAGGCACGAAAAAAAGGGATCATATTACTCCAGTATTATCCTCTCTCCATTGGCTACCAGTTCAGTACAGGATCGATTTAAAGATTTTATTGATGGTCTCTAAAGCACTTCATAACATGTCCCCAAGTTATATCACCAATCTTTTAGAGTACCATACATTGGCTAGGACACTGAGATCAGCAGATAAACTGTTACTGGCAGTTCCTCATTCCAAAAAAAAGTCTAAAGGTGACAGAGCATTTATGGTTGTGGTTCCCAAATTGTGGAATAGTCTTCCACTTCATATTCAGCAGGCTCCATCCTTAGAAGTTTTTAAGTCTCAGTTGAAAACTCATCTTTTTACATTAGCTTTCGCAGAGGAAAGACCGTCGACCTTTCGTAGAGGAACAACCCCAATGTGTAATGACCTGATAAAGGGTATTTGTCATCTGTTGGTTGGTTCATTAAGTGGTTTATTCTTACTAATTATGTTAGATTTGATTGTTTTTCATCTTTGTATATGCTTTCTTTTAAATTGTGAAGCACTTTGGGCAACAAAACTGCGTTAAAATGTGCTATACAAATATATAAAAGTTGAAGTTGAAAAAGTCATACTAATCAGGCTCGCCCACAACCACTAACAGACTGTCCCGTATTAGCATAATAGTTTCTGTCCTTAGCCAGTACACGGTCTGTCATTTTCTCATGCTCGAGCAGCTGTAGCATCAGCGTCTCTTAAGCAATGCAGGTGTTTTGTTGTTGGATGTAAAAGTGAACATAAGAGTCTTCATTTTCTCTCTACATCAGATTCATTGAGGACGCAGTGGATTCATTTATGAAGGGAATGTGTCCAAGAAAATAGTCCGGAAACGAGCACTTGCTACAGTCCCTGTTACTCTGTCTGGAAGAGGTCAAATTTTTGTTGTCTAAAAATTTTCTTCAGCTTAATGAAAAAAAATCTGAGATAATTATTTTTGGTCCACCAAAATTTAAAGAGATGATTTACAGTACTATTGCTCCTTTAGAATTAACTATAAAAAACAGTGTAAGAAAACTGGGTATCATAATTGACTCAACTCTCAGCTTGGAAAATCGGTAAAGTCGGAAGTAAAGAGTAGTTTTTACCAATTTAGGATGATCTCCAGGTTAAAACCCATTCTTAGTTTTAAAGATTTAGAGACCATTGTCCATGCATTTATTACCTCGAGATTAGATTATTGCAATTCTCTTTATGTTGGGATCTGTCAGCGACAACTATCTCGTCTGCAAATGGTACAGAATGCTGCAGCCAGGCTTTTGACAGGCACGAAAAAAAGGGATATTACTCCAGTATTATCCTCTCTCCATTGGCTACCAGTTCAGTACAGGATCGATTTAAAGATTTTATTGATGGTCTCTAAAGCACTTCATAACATGTCCCCAAGTTATATCACCAATCTTTTAGAGTACCATACATTGGCTAGGACACTGAGATCAGCAGATAAACTGTTACTGGCAGTTCCTCATTCCAAAAAAAAGTCTAAAGGTGACAGAGCATTTATGGTTGTGGTTCCCAAATTGTGGAATAGTCTTCCACTTCATATTCAGCAGGCTCCATCCTTAGAAGTTTTTAAGTCTCAGTTGAAAACTCATCTTTTTACATTAGCTTTCGCAGAGGAAAGACCGTCGACCTTTCGTAGAGGAACAACCCCAATGTGTAATGACCTGATAAAGGGTATTTGTCATCTGTTGGTTGGTTCATTAAGTGGTTTATTCTTACTAATTATGTTAGATTTGATTGTTTTTCATCTTTGTATATGCTTTCTTTTAAATTGTGAAGCACTTTGGGCAACAAAACTGCGTTAAAATGTGCTATACAAATATATAAAAGTTGAAGTTGAAAAAGTCATACTAATCAGGCTCGCCCACAACCACTAACAGACTGTCCCGTATTAGCATAATAGTTTCTGTCCTTAGCCAGTACACGGTCTGTCATTTTCTCATGCTCGAGCAGCTGTAGCATCAGCGTCTCTTAAGCAATGCAGGTGTTTTGTTGTTGGATGTAAAAGTGAACATAAGAGTCTTCATTTTCTCTCTACATCAGATTCATTGAGGACGCAGTGGATTCATTTATGAAGGGAATGTGTCCAAGAAAATAGTCAAATGCGTATGTTTGTGCAAATCATCATGAGACTGTGCTTTGCAAACGAGGGTCATTAAAACGCTATAGCTCTGGTCTCTATGAAGTGTATGAGTCAAAATATTCTATTTGCATAATATCCTATATCCAACATCAGCACAACACTGAACTCAGGAAATGGTGTTTGTCCAACTATATATGTTGCAAAAGCCATCAGTAAGTGAGAACCTGTGGGTACACAAGAACAAGCATACAATATTAGTACAGTCTCAAATTAGACACTTTCTAGAATATTAAAAATTAACATTTATATTTGACAAGAATTTATTATTATTACTATTATTTATTTATTTTATTTTTTCCCACAAGACAATATTATAAACCTGAGCTGCTCTGTTTTAATAGTTCTCCTTTCTGTTGAATGTAACAGTTTTCACATTTTCTAAACCTATTCAAATTCTGGAAACTGTCCAACCATCACAGAGCATGCATAGCTTTTACTTATAAGACAAAATACGAAAACTGAGTTAAAGTAATAGTTCACACAAAAATGAAAAATATGTCCTTGTTTACTCACCCTCACTGCCACCTTTAAAAGAAGACATTTAAAGGGGTCACATGATGCGATTTCAATATTTCCTTTCTCTTCAGAGTGTTACAAGCTCTTGTGCATAAAGAAGATCTGTAAAGTTGCAAAGACTAAAGTCTCAAATCCGAAGAGATATTCTTTATAAAAGTTAAGAGTCAACCACGCCTACCTAAAACGGCTCGTTCTAACACGCCCCCACATGTCTACATGCTGGAAGCGGTGTCCAGCCTGGGGTCGTCACATGTGGTTGCCGCAAGCCCGCTCCTTCGTCGAATCCGCCAGCCGCGTTGTTCTCAAGCCCTCCGGCCGCTCCTCACTCAAGCCCGCCGGCCGCCGCTCACTCTAGCCCGCCGTGTGTGTGACGCTGTGTGTTTCGTTATGAAAGCGAAACTACTTTGTTTGGCCTTCCAAAAGAGGACACGACTAGAAATCAGTGGTTAAGTTGTATTTACAACACTGTTCCAGAACAGTTCAACCCAAATATTCAGATGTGTGCACCGCATTTTATGGAGGACTGTTTCCTGATCCTAGAAGAGTAGACTACAATGCCGGCTGTTCTGACTCACAGACTGTAAGTACGTTTTCATAAGTTTTCAATGCGAGTTTTGAGCAGTGTAGAGTAGGGCTTGTTGTTGGTCATTTCTCCGATCACAAATGCAGGTTTTATGTTTACACGCGGTGTAACGCGTAAAAAGACAGTATAAGCCATTATAATCCGTAATTATGTCCCCATTGGATGCAACAAATGCCTCATTTATAATGGGTTTTTCATGTTTTTGTCTCATCGCTCTGGCCAGGACACCGCATAAACACATTTCATTACATCAAATACACAAAATAATGTTCTTTTTAGCAACATCATATGACCCCTTTAAAAGAAAATGTCTAAGTGATTGAAAGATATCATTGAAAGATAGGAGAAAATCAGTCGTAGTTCTTGGGCAAGACATGAGAATTCAACTACAGAAACCCACACTGACAGGGAGAACATGAGAACTCCAGACAGAAATCCCCGTCTCAATTGGAACTTCAACCGAGGAACTTTTTGCTGTGAGGCAACAGTGCTTCACACTGAACCACTGTGCGACCCAGTGTAAGCAATCTTACAAGACAAAGCAGTTACCCTTTACCTATACAGCACCTATATGACCATCTGTTATACAATTTCTGTTCGTGGATTCTTACGTAATGTTTCTTCTTTTAGGTCTGACAACCACATGTACTGTATGTGTATTCATCTGATAGATCCAGGCCTAAGCTGTTTCGACAGAGTTTAATATGCACACATTCAACATTCTCTGACCGTCCACATGGATCAATTCTATTCAGATCGTTTCACCAATAGCCAGCAGTGGGACACACTAGCCTGCTGAATGCAACTCTTCTTTTTATATATATATATATATATATACACACACACACATTATATATACATCACCGTGTTTACTGGGCTGGTATTTTCAAAGTAAAGTGCCCAGTAAACACTCTTCACCACAGTGGAAAACCCCAAAACTTCAACCTTCTGTTACAAAGGATATTTCAATTTCAACATAGCAGAACATAAAACAGTTCTCAAGCTTTTTTTCACCTTGCTCCAGAAAATATAAAATATTGCCTTATTTCAACATAGTTTACCCTTCCCATAAAGTCCTGTGCAAGGCATGCTGGGAACTAGCAATTTCATGCCCATTTTCATTTAATGGCAACAAAACTTATTCACTTACCAACATAAATGGATTAACTAAACATCTGTTTTAGAAATTTAAGTGGATTGATCACAATTAAATTAGGTTGTGATAAAATATTCACAAATTGAGTGAATTGGGATTAAGAATTAGGTCTACATGTCACATTCGATCGTGTGACATGAGACACAGATACACATCTCGCCAACGTTTCTGTGATATGCTCTTTTTTACACAGAAAGTGAAAACGACCAACTTTTGAGTATTTTATTGATCAATAAGGTGTGTCATATAACACTGGATGTGTCAGGTGTTCAAGGTAGTGCACCAACTCCCATGTCATTGAAATGAATGTCTTTGCCACATAACAGAATATGTTTTTGATGCAAATACATTTATGCAATGGCTCAATTACAAATTTATTCCTGTAGCTCTACTAATCAGAGTATAGTGCTAGCAATTTTCAAGCTTATCAGTTTGTTTTCCTGGAAAACACACATAATGGCCAAAAAACGTATACCTTGATTGCACTGTAACTGTTATAATAATAATATAAAAAATAAAAAAAACTCCTACATCATTGTGGTTCGATCAGTCTTATTTTTGAGCAGCATGTCATACTGAGGTGCATTCTTCATAAGAGGATACAGCTTGATGAGCGTTCTCCTTGTTGCGACTTTCCAATGTCCCATCAAAGACTCCAATAAGAGCCACCGACATCCACAGGAAACAAATGAGACCAAATACTGTGTGTATATTACCTCATCAATTTGAGTCCATACAGGCAAAAAAATTTTCAAGTTGCATCTCGCACTAAAGCAGAACAAAGACAAAGACGTTATTGCATAATGCAAAAGATTACATTTAAAGAACAACTGAGATATAAATGCTATAATAATTATTGTATGTGTTTTTTAAAAAAGTGTTGGGGAAAAAAAACTATATTTACAAAATTTTTTATTTCATCACTTACTAAAGTAGTAAAAATATAATAATAAAATAATGTTTACTCACTTGGAGTCCGGTGTAATGACTCTGGGTTGTCTTGGAAACTGAACCTAAATGAGAATGTACACACTTACACCATAATAAAGTTTAGAGCATCACTAAACTACACTTGAGACTTAGATATGGTGAACACAGATTAATTTTTCTTTTTCACTAAAGAACCAAGTATTTTCTGTTGCTTCACCAGTTTACTTGAATATCAGATAAATTGATCTTTGTTACCTTTCTACTTAAAATTTACCAGCAGCTCGTCTCTTCCTCCATATGATGAGTGCAGTTATGATGAGAACAACCACACACATGAACACCAGCACACTGAAAACTACAGACTGACTGAAGGATCCTGGGTCAGATTCAGCCACATCTGAAATTGGGGTGAAGCGATAAAAAAAAAAACAGAAATCAGTAAGCTAGTTATATAAAGTTAGTTTTTGTTAGTAAACCTAATGTCGAATTTCATTTCCAAAGAGGCATTTTCCTTAATTGTTAGTTTTTCTTTACCAAAAATAATGTCCAGTTTGTTGTCCAGATTGAGGTGCTTCATTGTGCAGTTGTATTTATGTTCCTCACGTAGCTCTTCTTCACTGATCACCAAACTCTTCCTCATCTGGTACGTTCTGTCTCCGTTGGGCAGAATCTCTCCTCCTGTGATCTGATCATCTTCCACAGGCTGACCATCTCTGAACAGGGTCAGGTTAATGTGACGGGGGTAAAAACCAGTGGCCAGACAGCTGATCTGAAGCCCTTGAGAGTCTGAGAGTGTCTTCTTCATGAGTCTGACTCTGGGCTTCACTACAGAGAAGGACGAGAAGTGTTACTGTTGCTAAACTGTTGGGTTCATTGCATCAGTCATTCATTTATCATAAGCATGATTTATATAGCTTTCAGAGTCACATTCTCTGTTAGCACAGCTGTCTGGGTTATATTTTTTGATCATGCTTTTTTCTTAATTATACTCAAGTTAATAAGGTTGATCCTCTCACCTTTTCTCAGCACATTGTTCTTCTCCATATTTAGGTACCTTCTCAAAGTTTTAATGCAAATAGGATGATAAACATTTTCATACATAAAGTTTTCATGAACCCGTTTTAGTTGGTCCCATGTTATCACCCATGGCATTTTAATCTGGATAGCGTGTTTTCCTACATCAAAAATAAACTCCTCCATATTTTGTCCCCCGAAAGCATCCCAGTAATGAAGTTGACCTGGTTTATTGCTGTTCAACAGTTCACATCCAACAAGTCTCTGATGAACATGTACACCTTCAAATGAATGAAAAAAAGTTAAGATGTATTATTCTTCAATAACATAGTACAATATAAGATGTGAAAAAAATAAAAAAAACTGATGTAGAAGCAAAAAAGCTACATGTACTAAAGAGTACAATGACAAAAATTAGATTATTGATTTTTAGGAAAAAATAATAAACACATAAACAACACATAACGTGTTATTAAATGTTTTGTGTGTTGATATTGATATGTACACTATAGCTCTCACCGTCTGTGTGATTTTGGTGCTCCTTAAGATAAAAGGCTCGATCTTTCATGTCATAATACATATCACGCAATACAACACCAGCATCACTTTGCTCTTCATCGTAATATTTTGATTCACTGTGAGAGCGATAGACAGGTTTCCACGTGGTTGAGTCATAATACGCTATTTGTACATCATCCAACATCACCACAACACTAAACTCGGGAAATTGTGTTTGTCCAACTATATATGTTGCCAAAGCCATCAGTGAGTGAGAACCTGCGGATACACAAGGACAAGCATTCAATATTAGTACAATGTCAAATTACATCATTACTGTAGATGCAAATTTGCATTCCTGCAAACCTAACAGAAAGGGACACAGAGGCCAGAAACCATCAAGTTATTTTTATTTGTTTGGTTAGAAAAGCCAAAGGCCGTGGAAAGAAAAAAATGGCTTGACTTGTTGTCAAAGGCCGTTTACATGAACTGCAATGCACATCGACAACAAGGCATGCAGCTCATATTGAATACTCAAAATGTGTCTCCCTTCTTGGACCTTCAAGAATACCTTTACCGATCCACAGGTTCAGTAGGAGTAGAGTGGGTTTTAGTGATAGGGACAAATAAGGTACCTACATGACAACATCAATGTATTATGTTAATAAAAATGATCATACACTGATTATGTTGTTATTAGGCTATTACTGTTTTATAATGTACTACAATACACTGAAGTGCAAATACTAGCTCTCATTTACACTAATTATAAATAGCATCTAAAAAGTGTCCGCTATTTGTACTTCGTGTAAATAACATCTAATGCAAACAGCCACTGCAAAAAAAACAACAACAAAAAACTCAAGCATAAAAACAGCTATAAGATGTTTAGGTAATGGACGGTAAAAAAAATAAAAAAATAAAAATAAAAAAAAAAAGTTGAGAGGACGAAGACCCATCTTTCTCTCACATTACAATAAAACTACATTTTCTAAATATAGCATCATATTTGCAAATTGCAAAGTGTCAGAACTATTATGACAGCGCCGGAACTTTTATTTTGACAGCGATAGAACCCCGCGCCTGAGCAGACGCATAGTGACAGAAGCTCACTTTATCTGTCTATCAAGTTAGAAGACAGAAATTTTAAACAAATAAAGTAAACGGTCCAATAAAATGTGTGGTCATTACGGTCAATGTTTTACTTCAACAGTAAAGGATACTAAAAGTCACAGACTGCTAAATAATTAGGCAAAAATTGTTCGCATGACTTTACAAATTTTCAGAAGTCACAGCTTTTTTAATTAATTGGGCAGTAAACAACCTAAGCAGTATTTTCCAAAAGAAAGATTCTCAAAACGGCACTATTCCCCAAAAACTTAACCAGCAAAAACCAAGCTAGCACTTGCAGCAAGATTTAGTGCACGCTGCACAGACATTCAAAAACACAGATGTGCTCACCACACCCTATGGTTGAAATATACAGGATAGCAGCACTAACATACCTGCGTTAACGACTGGCCAAAAAGTCATCATACACACAAGAGTGAGCATTTTCTCCTGTGGCTCAGGAAAAACAAACGTACAGGTGAGGTGTACTTTTAAGAGTGTCCTCTTATCGTGATTATTGTCCGTTGTTGTTGTTCTTCTTCTTGCGGCTGGCAACCAGCGTAATTAGGTGCATTACCGCCACCTTCTGCTCTACTTATTAATCCCGTCCTTTTTAGAAAATTAAAGGAAGCTTTACTATTTATTTCACTTGCCCATTTTATTAAAGATTTAAAATGTACCACCGGAGTTCCATTCTTCTTGATTTCAACTATCATATTACTTCTTCCTCATATTTCTTACATTCAAGAATTGCATGGGTCACGGTTTCTTCTACTTTGCATTGTTCACATACAGGTGCATCTCAATAAATTAGAATGTCATGGAAAAGTTCATTTATTTCAGTAATTCAACTCAAATTGTGAAACTCGTGTATTAAATAAATTCAATGCACACAGACTGAAGTAGTTTAAGTCTTTGGTTCTTTTAATTGGGATGATTTTGGCTCACATTTAACAAAAACCCACCAATTCAAATTCAATTCAATTTCAATTACTTTGAAATCTCAACAAATTAGAATACTTCATAAGACCAATAAAAATTTTTTAGTGAATTGTTGGCCTTTTGGAACGTATATTCATTTACTGTACATGTACTCAATACTTGGTAGGGGCTCCTTGAAGTGATGGTAAAAATTAGCAGAATTGATAGAATAATAGTTGTCTTTCATTCTGAATTTGTCTGACCAGCACAATTTTAACAAGTGTTATTATACCAAAGCAAGGGCTATGGAAAATTACTGCTTCACAATGTTATCCTATGATGTTAAAAACCTAGAAATGGAGACATTGTTTTATCTCTAACATGTGACGAAAACACAGCACACAACAAAAGATTCTGATAACTTAAAACCATACACACATTGGCTCCTTCACAGTGTTAGATCATGCCTCCCTGCCAGATAATTAGAATCCAGCCCCAAATGCCAGATCCTGTCAGAAAAATCAATTTTGTCTGGTAACAGAACAACTAGTCAGCAAAATTGCCTAACACCCATAACCTGTTAACAGCAAGTCTTGTCTGTTGCCCAAAATAACCAAAACTCTAACAGTCTTCTAGCCAAGAAGTTGACTGAATAAAGCCAGTGAATAGCAGAAGCAGGAGATCAAGTGATGATAAAAAAAAGTTTATTGAATCAGTTGAGTATGTCTCAATGCTCAGATTTCATCTGACCTTGAATTTCCATGAACATTCCCTCTTATCTCTTATTCGTGAAGACAAACAGCCCTTGAAACACACAGTCATAAGACTAAACAACAATGGAAAAATAATATATAAAAAACAATATAATGTAATATAAACGACTAATCAATTAATGAATAAATGTAATTAGTATATAAATGGTTATTATAAATGATTATATGATTAAATGCAATCATAAAACAATTAAATGATAAATGATTATGAATAAATCAATGAATTAATAAAGGAATGAAGAATAAATGAATATAAAACAAAGAAAGTAAAACACAACACAAATGTATGGTTGCTCTCTTGAAGCAACACACACAGTTTGCATTTGAGGATCCTTAGATCCTTCAAAAGTAGTGCAGTGGTTCTTGAAACTTAATTAAGAAACCAGCACATTGGGAAATATACATTATATTCAGGTTACATTTTCTGGGATTTTAATCAAAACATATATTTCCAATGATCAAATATCAAATGCAATTTGTTGATAACAAACAAACAAAATTCAATGCTATTTTCCAATCAAAGTTTTAGACATTTCTAAAGACAAAAATAGATTACCTTGTACCAGCAAGGAATACAGCTGCAATAATTTGTTATTGTTGTGTACCTATTACATTCCTTCATTTACCATCTTTTTACTCTTCATTATCGTTGGCGTCCAACAAGCAAATGCTAAGATATTTTAGCATGTATTGTCTTGACCTTAATTTTTTTTACCTATAACATAGACTCACTTTTTATTAGAGGCAGAAGCTGAAAAAAAAAATCATTTCGTTACAAGTTTCTCAAATCAAATTGAACATGCTGCTGAATGCCTATAACTTGTACATTTTTAATTGTAAATGCTTTCAAACACAGTGTACTCACATGGAGTAGGAGAGTATTTACTGTGTGATGTCTCAGATCCTCGTCCTGAACAAAAATGACAGTTATAGTAAACACTACAGACACACAAAACTGTGTATGTGAATGTTTAAACAGAATTAGATGTAATGAACTGGACTGAACAGATCATTTACCAGCAGCTCGTCTCTTCCTCCATATGATGAGTGCAGTTATGATGAGAACCACACACATGAACACCAGCACACTGAAAACTACAGACTGCGTTGATGATCCTGGGTCAGATTCAGCCACATCTGAAATTGGGGTGAATTATAAATAAATAAACAAGATGCACACATATAGTTTTGTTATTAAACCTGATATTTACTTTAAAATTGCAATTTTTTACCAAATGTAATGTCCAGTTTGTTGTCCAGATTGAGGTGCTTCATTGTGCAGTTGTATTTATGTTCCTCACGTAGCTCCTGCTCCGTTGGGCAGAATCTCTCCTCCTGTGATCTGATCATCTTCCACAGGCTGACCATCTCTGAACAGGGTCAGGTTAATGTGACGGGGGTAAAAACCAGTGGCCAGACAGCTGATCTGAAGCCCTTGAGAGTCTGTGAGTGTCTTCTTCATGAGTCTGACTCTGGGCTTCACTACAGAGAATGATATAGAAAAATACACAGTCTTACTGTCACACCAAGCCACACTAGAGATTTGTATATAAAGATCAGCGTACTACTCTCACCTGTTCTCATCACATTGTTCTTTTTCATTCGCAGGTAACTCTGCAAAACTTTAATGCAAACAGGATGATATACGTTTTTATATAAAAATTTCATATGAGCAAACTGTAAATTGTCCCACATTATCCATGGCAATTCAATTTGGAAATGATTTTTCTCCTCGTTGAAAATGAACGCCTCTTTATTTTTCTGATCAAAAGCATCCCATGTCTGAAGTGGACCTGGTTTATCATCATTCAATAATTCACATCCAGCAAGTCTCTGGTGAACATGTACACCTTTCAAAGGATAAAAACACTTAAGATTTCTATACTCCGTTTTCTTTTTTTCTGGACTTGTGCTAATAAGGATACAGTTAGTACTGGTATTAGTAAACGTGATTTATATTACCATCATAATTTATGCTGTTCTCACCGTCTGTGTGATTTAGGTGCTCCTTAAGATAAAATGCTCGACCTTTCATGTCGTTGTACATATCACGAAATATGACACCAGCATCACTTTTCTCTTCGTCGCAGTGTTTTGAATCATCATAAGAGCGATGGACAGCTTGCCGTGTGATCGAGTCACAGAACATTACTTGAAGATCATCCAGCATCACTACGGCACTGAACTCTGGAAATGGTGTCTGTCCGATTATATATGTTGCGAACGCCACCAGTGAGTGAGAACCTTTGGAAAGTAGTAATACAGGTAGTATGGTGTCATATGAGACATTTCGTGATAAACGAGAACTCACTCGGCAAACTCTATGCTTTCGCTTTTACGTACTTTCACATTCGAGAAGACTTTTTCATCTGAGTAAAACGGTCAAACTAAGAGATGATTTAAACACATTTTACGGCTATATTGTTGCACAGGCGGCACTATATTGTGATTAAATGCTTCTAAACCTTTTCTACTTTTAGTTGTTCACAGCCTATATATAGTATCTACGGCGAATGGTTAAAAGCACATCTGTAGAAGCAAAGAACATCTGTAATCTTACTTACCTGCTCTAACCGCTGATAAATATGACAGTAGATATACATAAACGAGCATAATTGTCTGTGTACAGTAGTGTTTTCTCGAGCCTCTTCGAACAACTAAAAGCCCCTTTTCTGAGCTTTATAACGCCTGTCTGGACTTCCCCTGTTGACCGCTGGGGGCACGAAGGCTACTTTTAACTCATCAGTTCTATTCATGTTGAGATTTAGGTCTCATGTATTTTTATGTCACAATCTTTAACATTCAGTGCAAATAGCAATTGCCAAACCTCATCTAAATTATTACTGCATTTTATTTTCATTGTTCTCACTTGTGTCATGTTTGCAGTTCCCACTAATAGCCGTAGTCTATTCATTTTGAACCATTGTTCCAAAGTTGTGCAAGTTCATGACTGAAATTCCAAGACTTGTTTATTTTAAATTTGACATTTTCTGATTTGTCAGATGAGTCCATACATAGCCTACAGATTTGGTTATTCTGATCAAATATCAAAGAAAAGTAGAAAAGGCAGCACATTGAAAAAAAAGTACAATATGAATAGTAGCATACATATGCATAAATAGTAAAAAATACAAAAGTACATGACACATTCTGATGGTAAAAAATGAAAAGCATGAAACAGATTTTTCATCATTCATATATACAGTTTCCTAGCTAGTCCAACAACACTATTTATTGTAGCAACATGCATCACGCATAATAACTGGACACGTGTTTATAGAAGACACAAAAATAATGTGGGAAGTGATCTGACACAACAGTGCAAAATTTGAATTAATATTATAGGCTTGCCACAGTGAATTGGGATAAGGCATGAAGATGAATTTGGACACTTGTTTTTATGTACTTGCTCAATTTTCTTAATAAAAAAATCACATTAAGGGCAGATTCTGGGTTGTACTTGACATTTTCTGATTTGTCAGATGAGTCCATACATAGCCTACAGATTTGGTTATTCTGATCAAATATCAAAGAAAAGTAGAAAAGGCAGCACATTGAAACAAAAAGTACAATATGAATAGTAGCATACATATGCATAAATAGTAAAAAATACAAAAGTACATGACACATTCTGATGGTAAAAAATGAAAAGCATGAAACAGATTTTTCATCATTCATATATACAGTTTCCTAGCTAGTCAAACAACACTATTTATTGTAGCAACATGCATCACGCATAATAACTGGACACGTGTTTATAGAAGACACAAAAATAATGTGGGAAGTGATCTGACACAACAGTGCAAAATTTGAATTAATATTATAGGCTTGCCACAGTGAATTGGGATAAGGCATGAAGATGAATTTGGACACTTGTTTTTATGTACTTGCTCAATTTTCTTAATAAAAAAATCACATTAAGGGCAGATTCTGGGTTGTAGCACTAGCTTACATTATATATTTAATAGATATTATGATAGTTTTTAAGTTAATACGTTATTATTTATTACGTTAATCACTGAACACATGCAGACACACTTTTGGAAGAGGTCTAGTGTCCTTGTGTAATTCAGCCTGAGGGTAGCACTGTAATGTTGACTGACAGGCTATAAATCCACTTGAGCATAAAATGTTATATGTGTTTGAATGTTGACTTGAAATGTTAGGAATTCGAGAGAGGAAAATGAAGCCATGTCAAGTCAACAAACACAAAACAAACACAACAGAATGGTTTACAGGCTATTCATACGAGCACATTTAAACGAAAGGATTTACACTTTCACTAAATTGGTACGTAACTCCTAACAGCCCCCTACCCACTGTTAAAGAAGAACTGGTTTACTAGTCGCTAAACTGATGCAGACTAAACTAAAGTCAAATGTGAGATTTTAATATATCCATCTCACTAGAAAGTTCGAAAGATATTGGTTGCAAAATGCTACTGAAATACATTTACGAGTTAAATGTAGGATTGATTATGCTTATATAAAAGGTATATAAAATTAATGTTTTGCCCATACATAACCCCACAACAGTATCGGAAATGTCCAGCCATGACACTTTGTAGCTCCAAAACTGATCAGGAGCAGTAACTTTAACACAATTAAGGTGCCATCACGTAACCACCACTTTTTACAGTGTCAGGTTTTTCTTCAGTATGTATTTGTTGCTTTCGTTTCAAGTAGGTTGCTTTGGAAATAGGTTTACGGACATGAAATCTCTTGTGCGATCTTAAATTGCACAGCCATTTAAATCTCTTTTCACACAAAGAACACAAATAGGGTCTCTTGTCTGCGTGACTTTTCAGGTGTATCTCTAAGTGTGATGGCAAAATAAATTTTTTATTACACTGATCACAATTAAACGGCCTTAGTCTCGAGTGAATGCGCAGATGATTTTTGAAATTGCTTGTTTTTGCAAACTTCTTGCCACAATCAGAACACTGGGATTTCTCTCCAAAATGAGATTGCAAATGACTTTTCAGCTGTCTTAGATAGGCGAAACTCTTCTCACACTGAACACACATGTAAGGCCGGTCTCCAGTGTGAAGCCTCATGTGAGCCGTAAGGTTTCCTTTAAGTGCGAAACTTTTACCACAAGGACAGGAGAACGGCTTTTCTCCAGTGTGAATTCGCATGTGAATCTGAAGTTTAGATTTGCTTTCGCAAATCCTTCCACAGTGATGGCACGTAAAAGGCTTCTCATTGGTGTGAACACTTCTCACATGACCATTAAGAAGTCCTTTATATCTGAAACTCATTCCACACTGATGGCAGCTGAAGGGCTTTTCTCCAGTGTGAAGCCTCATGTGATAATTAAGGAGACCTTTATGTATGAAACTCTTTCCACACTGAGGGCAAGAGAAAGGCTTTTCTCCAGTGTGAACTTGAATGTGAATCTTAAGGTTTGATTTGCTTTCACAAATCCTTCCACAGTAATGACACACGAAAGGCTTCTCCTCGGTGTGAATGTATCTTATGTGACGACTAAGTTGTCCTTCAAGAATGAAACTCTTTCCACACTGAAGGCAGGTGAAAGGCCTTTCTCCAGTGTGAAGTCTCATGTGGTAATTAAGGGATGTTTCATGTTTTAAACACTTTCCACATTGATGGCACTTGAAAGGCTTTTCCTCGATGTGACATCTCATATGTGCCTTTAGGTTGTTTTTGATTTGGAACCCCTTTCCACATTGCTGGCACTTGAAGGGCTTCTCTCCAGAGTGAATTATCACATGCCTGTTAAGGCGTTCTATGTCTTTGAAACTTTTTCCACACTGATGGCAAATAAAATGGCTCTCTCTTAAGTGAATTCTCTTGTGTAAATTAAGGGTTACTTTATGTATGAAACTCTTTCCACACTGATCGCATTTGAAAGGTCTTTCTCCAGTGTGAATCCTCATGTGATCCTTTAAGGTTTTACTTCGTATGTAACTCTTTCCACACTGATCACACTTAAAAGGCCTTTCTCCGGTGTGAATCCTCATGTGATCCTTTAAGGTCTTGCTTCGTGTGTAACTCTTTCCACACTGATTACATGTGAAAGGCTTCTCTCCGGTGTGAATTCTCATGTGGTTTTTAAGGCTTCCGTTCGTAGTGAAAATGTTCCCACACTGTTGGCAGGTGAAAGGGCACTGTACATTGTGCATTAACTCATGTTTTTTAAGGCTTTTCTCATAAGTGAAATTCCTGCCACATTGAGGGCAGATGTAACAGTTTTTAAAACTTTTCTTTCGAGATTTTTTTTGAGAGGGCTCCTTTTCAGTCTGCGAGCAAATTTTTTCTCCGTGATGTTTATCGTATGGATCTTCCTCTTCCATTTCGTACAGTTCTTGACTTTCCACTTTCATCACCACCAGGTCTAAGGTGGAAAAAAGAAAAATACAAGTTAACTCAGTTAAATGGCACAAAGTAACTGACATCAAACTGCTAGATTTATTCAATGTACTACAGGCTAATTCTTCCATTGTCATATTAATCTAGATACCTGCGACAGTTATTTTATGATCATTTAGATCACTGATGAAAGGATTTTTGGATTCTAAATACATTGCTATTACTTGTAAGCATAAAGTGCTATTATAAAATCAAATAACCCTTTTTTATTATAAAGCTAAAGTGGTCTAAAGCATGTAAATCAGTGTTGGGGAGTAACTAATTACATGTAATGGAATTACGTAATTTAATTACAAAATAAATGTAACTGAAATCTGTTACAGTTACTGAGAAAAAATAATTTGTAATTAAATTACAGTTACATATGAAAATGTTAACGATTACAAAGGGGGATACATCTGATTTTTTTCACTCGCAAACACCCACATACATATTTAACTGACTTCTTTCATAAATTGCATTGACTGCTCTAAAATATGACACACCGATGTTTCAGGTCACATGCTTATTCAATAACTGTTTTATTTCCTATTTGGGCTTATGCATATGCTTTATTTTTTAAGATTAACTGTTTTTTTCCCCCAAAGCATTGTTAAATGTCAGTGTTTCCTTTCATAGCTATGCAAATTTCAAAGATTTGATTTCAAAAACAGTATCATAGCTATTAAACTATTTTCTTGTCATGATTTTAAATCTGTATTTAACCTCAGAGCGATCTCAAAGTAAAAAGAGGTGCTAAAGTCCGATTTTGTGGTGGCTGTGCTTTCAATTCAATTATTATACTCTTAATTCAAGTAATCAGTCAAGTGACAGTAATCAGTGTCCAGTCCTACTGTAAGGTTAACCCTGCCTGCTTTAAATGTTTGAAAATGATTAACAGTTGAAAACAGACATTTAGAAAAGTAATCAAAAAGTAGTCAAATGTAATCAGTTACATTACCTTAATAAAGTAATTGAATTAGTTACACTACTTATTAAATAGGGTAACTTGTAATCTGTAACCTATTACATTTCCAAAGTAACCTTCCCAACACTGATGTAAATTTACATATCTCTTGTACATCATGTATGTAAACCCATATTCCAATGTCTGTCGTGAATGATATGAATCACTCAATGATATTCATTGAGCAGTCTGATTTCAAAGCTGTATTTAGTTGATGACAAACCAGTTTGACTTAAACTTAAGTTAATTCTGCTCAGACAACAAGTGCAATATGACAACACATTACCTCTTGCAGCAATACCTGTCATGAAAACACTTGTTATAAGGTTCCATTCCTTTTAAATAATAGTTTAGTTTTATTAATATTAGTTTTTATTTATTAACATTATGAGTTTTTTTACCCCTCTATCTGCCTGGTCTAAGGCCGTTTATACATTACATCCTCTCATGTTTAAAAAAAAAAAAAGACAGCAAGTTATGTCAATTATGCTTTTTTTATTGACAGGAAATTATAGCAAAAATGGCAATGCTCTAAAAAGTCATTACAAGAAAGCATAAAAATTACACTTGAATGTAAATTAAGACTGAGTAAATAAGTAAACGAAATATAATAGAACAGATAGACACACAAATACAAATAGAAACAAAGGCTAAGTTCCAATTAAATATTTTTCCAGTTGCCTGTGATGCCTTCACATCCATCATTATGTGTATTTTTGTCAACATGAGTGGCAGTTGATCTTTGGAGATGATGAGTATGTGGGGTGTGACAGCATCTGTCTGGGTTGAAATACACAGTTGACTTTAGAATCACACTCTTCTAGTTGTTTAAGTAAAAGAAATTATGTCTTATGTCTCACAAACAATATGGACCATAAATTCTGTATCTCTCACTTACCTGCTTAGAGGAGAATAGGAGAGAAGTATCATCAACTGAACAGAGCATGACACACTTACATGTGCTGTTAAAAAACTAAGAAAAAAGGACAGCATGATGAAACAAGTTACAATTTGAAAATGAACATTTAAAGATATTTTGAAAAGGATATCAAGTACCTGCTCAGAGTATGTTGACAGTTTTGCTTAGCTGGATGGCTAAACTCCAGAAAATCGATAATGAGGTGGCTTTGAAATAAAAAAAAAATTTCTAAACACAATTAACCATTTCAGCATAAAATGGTTCTCCAAGGCGATATGTTTCTAAATAGAACTATTACTATTTGTAAAGAACTATCTTTTTTAAAGGGGTCATATGATGCTATTTTAAAGATCATTATTTTGTGTATTTGGTGTAACAGAATATGTTGACATGCTTTAATGTTTAAAAAACATAACATAATACATTATATGGTAATTTTCCTGTCAACCCTCATGTTAGAAATTCCCCTAAAGAAAACAAAAGTTCAGCCAGCTGTGTACAGTAGACACAACCTGTAACAGTAGTAACTTATTTAGTAACTTATCTTTACATGTAGCTACACAAATGAAGCTGAAGTACATTAAACTATGTTATGTTAAATATATATTTGGCATTATGACCATTTAAATGATTGCAACATTTTTTCAAATTTATCATTTATTTGTTTAAAGGCCAACATTTTAAAAAACAAATGACAAATAAACCAGTAACTAATAAACCAACCTGTGTCATCCTCTGCATCTTCATTTTTCACTCTGAATGTTTCTGAAATGCTCACGTCTTCAATCTCCTCTTTAATAAATGCCATCTTGATAATAGTGTCACATGGATTTCAGATGTTCTCAGTTTCTTGTTCCTGTATGATTGGACATTTTGTCTTGTTTAACATGAGGAAAACAATTAACAAAGAAATACAAATCCGAATCGAATATGTTATTTACATATGAATGAATGCGCTTTACTCACAAATAACACTCATAAACATTGGGCCATTTACGAGACAAACTGTCAGGGTTCGTGTAACGCCGTAGTTCAGTTTTCAGACACAAAAATAGAATAATAAAAAGGCTGTAACGTAATTAAATAATTTCTGATGTCAAGATTTTGAAGATTAAAATTGAATAACAGGAGAGAACACGGTATTTGCCTATTAACTGAAAACGCAACTGTAAAGCGTTACACGGCACCTCACATAATCCATTCATTTCACATTACTTGTAAAATCCACACATCGATTGATCGATTCGTATCGATTTCAACACCTCAAACACTTAAGCGTGATAAAACTCAAACCTTTGTTGAGCCAGAGGACAGCGGTCCAGCCATGTGATGTCGCTGACAGATCAAAATAAAAGTCCCGTTCACACGCTGCCTAAAATCATAGACAGTGCATTAAAATGTATACATAAAAAAAAAAAATTAAATGTCAAAGAAATTTAGAGTAAAACTCAGTGTATGCTTGGTAAAATACATATTTAAAACATGTTGTCCACTAATGTGCTGAAAAAAAACTACCAATAAAAGAGTGAGTAGCCTACAGCATCTGAAATGCAAGATTCTGTCTAACTGCAAAAAAAAAAAAAAATGTTTAGGTTCAGAAACCATGCACAGTTACAGAAACTTTATTTATCAATAAATTATCTTCATGCTGCGATTCGGGTTTGGTCTAAACTTAAAGGCAATAGAACACACATTTTTATAGCCTATCACAACATTGAATGTCCACTCTTTTTTTTATCATCCATGCCATGTTTGCAGTTCCACTAACCATTATTCCAGTTTATGGTTAAAAAAAGTTTATATTCTTGTTTATTGTAAACGTCTGACTTCTTTTTCTGACTGACCAGATGAGTCCACATACGTAGTTTTCCAGTGGCGGATGAAGTATCCTACCTGAAAGCCACTTTAGTAAAAGCAGATATCTTACCAGAAAATGACTTTGGTAGAAGTTGAAGTCGCCGTTTAGAACATTACTTCAGTAAAAGTTTTAAAGTATGTGATATGTATTGTAGCCTACTTAAGTATGAAATGTAAACTTAAGAATTGAAAGTGCATGTAAAAAAATGGGAAAAAAGCAAATAAACATATATATATAAAACAGTTTATACACAGATTGAGCAGCAAACTGTTTAGTTTGAACTCTCTCTTCCATTTTGTTTCTTTGGGTAATCATAAGAGGCACTTCAGCCGGTAATTTAAAAAAAAAAACATTCTGGAATCTGCATCTGAAGTGGCATTTAGATGTATTAACACAGTTGCATTTACTGTAGCTCAGATGGGACATGGATGCATTTAACCTGCAGTTACTAATGCATAAGTAGGCCTAATATTTTTTTAAAACAAAACGTTGAAAGCCAGGCAATTTGAAAATGATTTTTTTTTTAAAAGTTGAAATGTGAAATTAACACCGCCAGATGGCAGCAAGTCACTGTTAATGAGGGAGACATTGAGATTCAACCGATTCATTCAAATGGCTGATTCATTCAGGAACAAGGCATTTCACTGAATCATTCATTCAACCGATTCGTTCAAAAAGCTGATTAAGCTGAATAAGGAAACACATTATATGACCTGTGTGTTGCTCAAAGACATAAAACAGTGCTGTGATCTTTGTTTGGAACTGTTTTTGTTGACAATATTGAGAAACAACAGGCAATATTGTGTCTAAAATGTAAGTTACTTGAACTTACTTAATGCTAACTTTAAACTTGTATAAAATCAATATTACATTTATCATGCTAATATCTGGAGAAAAAAAACGACACTCTTCATGGATAGAGATTAACTAAATTATGTAAATATAAAAAGGCATACAGAGGCATTTTTGCCACCTGTAATTTAGAATGCCTTGAATTTTGATAATTCTAAATGCGTCGGGGAAATGTATCAGAGTATAAGTATAAATTTAATTAACGAAGCATTATTACATTACACAATGCTGTTTTCATTATTTTGGTCAAATATTAAAGAAAAGTAACAGAAAAGGCAGTGCATTGAGAAAAAAGTATACATTACCAATAGTTGCCTCAAACACATACACAACAATGTAAGAACAGAATTTCCTGGAAAAAAAAATTATTAATGTTTATTACAGTGACTTGGGACAAGAAACAAAAAGCAGCAGCTTTGCATAACACAATTAAGGCACCATAATACAACCACCAAAAGTCACCTTTCATGATGCTGAAACTTATCAGGATTTTTTTCCAGTATGGATTTGCTGCTTTCGTTTTAAGTAGCTTGTTCTGGTCATAGGTTTCACATGGATATGAAATCTCTTGTGCAATCTCAAATTACAGAGCCATTAAAATTTCTTCCCACACATATAGGGTTTCTTGCCTGCATGACTTTTCAGGTGTATCTTTAAGTGTGATGACAAAAGTAATTTTTTATTACATTGATCACAATTAAACGGCCTTAGTCCAGAGTGAATGCGGACATGATTTTTTAAATTGCTCTTTTTTTGTAAACTTCTTGCCACAATCAGAACACTGCCATTTCTCTCAAGAATGAGTTTGCAAATGACTTTTCAGCTGTCCTTGATAAACGAAACTCTCCTCACAGTGAAGACACGTGTACGGCTTCTCTCCAGTGTGAAGCCTCACGTGAGTCTTAAGGCTTCCTTTAAGTGTGTAACTCTTTCCACACTGAGAGCAGGAGAAAGGCCTCTCTTTGGTGTGAGTATTTTCATGCATTTTCAGTAGTTTTTTGTCTGTGAAACTCGTTCCACATTGACGGCATTTTAAACTGTTCTCTCTCATGTGAATCCTCATGTGATCATTAAGGTGTCCTTTGTGTATGAAACCCTTTCCACACTGAGGGCAGGTGAAACGTCTTTCTCCAGTGTGAAGTTTCATGTGGTAATTGAGGGATTCTTCATGTTTTAAACACTTTCCACACTGATGGCACTTAAAAAGCTTCTCCTCAGTATGAGATATCATGTGTCTCTTGAGGACCTTATTTATCTGGAACCCCTTTCCACATTGGTGGCACTTGAAGGGCTTCTCTCCAGAGTGAATTATCACATGCTTGTTAAGGTCTTCTAAAGACATGAAACTTTTTCCACACTGATGACATATAAAGCAGTCCTCTCTTGAGTGAATACTTACGTGTAAATTAAAGGTGTCTTTACGTATGAAACTCTTTCCACACTGATCACATGTGAAAGTTTTTTCTCCAGTGTGAATCCTCATGTGATCCTTTAAGGTCTTGCTTCGAGTGTAACTCTTTCCACACTGATCACATGTGAAAGGATTCTCTCCATTGTGAATTCGCATGTGGACTTTAAGGCTTCCTGCAGAACCGAAAACGCTTCCACACTGATGGCAGGTGAAATAACTTTCAGAATCTGTCTCCTGCACTAGTTTTTGTGACTTTTCAGTCTGCAAGCCAAGTTTTTCACCAGTTATGAAATCATGTTTCTCATACTGCTCTTTCTCCTCCATTTCATTTAGTTCTTGAATCTCCTCTTTAAGCAGCATTAGGTCTAAAGTGAAAAAAGCAAACCCCAGCTCAATGACACAAAACAACAGAAATCAAGGATTCTATTTGCAATGTGTGTTAGAAGTGTTTAACATTGTAGCCACAGACATTTATAACCAACAAGTATTAAAGACATTGTAAATAAGAGATACGTTATGTCATCCAGACAGATTTTTGATTATAACAAGAGTTTTTGCAAAAGTACCCAGTCAGTGAGCTTGGGTTGACATGAATTGACTAACAGATTTTGTCGCTTTCGGTATATAACCCATTCACAATTTGAAGTTATTTTTCATGCTGCTAATTACACACTGCAAAGTTTTGGGAGTGACAACCATACTTACGTTTGGATTTAATTGGAATTGCAATGAGTACGGTAACAGCTGAAGAAACAGATGGGACAAAAAATAGAAATGTGCATTAAGTCTAAAATGAGTGTGAATGCAGACTAACAGACTTTCCACAAAAATGTTGAGTTATTTTGTTTTTTAACCCAAATGCTGCGTTCAGCCAGTTGGGTCAATTTATTGGGTTATATTTTAAATATTTTTACCCAGGTGCTGAGTCTGTAACTCAGTCATTTTTTACTGTCAGTACCAATGATGAACCCCCTCGGTCACCGTGATTTTGCCAAGACACGTTCCATCTTTTGTTGATCCTGGATCAACATTACTGTCCAAAAATACAGACTTAACCCAATCCCTACCCATAATTTTTTCCTAAAATCTGAGGGAAATGATATCTTATTAACAAGGGTGTAGAAGCACCTAATCCTGATTGTAAGCCTAAAACTGACATTTCCTGAAAAGTTATCTCTCAAATCTGATTGGTTGATTGGAATGATGTTCCAGGATCAACAAGGGTGTTGATCCAGGAACATGTTGTACTTGGTGAAATCATGCTCACCGAACCCCCTCACATACCCCTCCACCATGGAAGTTTCACCTCTCACCAACCGAATGTGCAAACAGGGCTGAAACACAATGCCACATTGTTATTATATGTAGCACAGTTTCTTTGCACTCCAATGACTACAATTGGAGTGCTATTAATCTAGCGAACTAGCAACAGCTGTGATCACGCTGTGTGTTTGGCGGGTTCAAATTGAAACTTAAATGTCTGACAGATGAGATGGCACGAGCAAAGGTGAAGCTAACTTTTCAATCATAAATATATGTTTGTAATTTAATGAACTGGAACAGCTTATGATACCAGTTTTCTTCCCACAGATTCCCATTGACTGCTGTTGCTGCGCCTGTCACATCCTAAAATATTTACTGAATGTTTTTGAGTATTTTATGATTGTAAAAGACTGACTTGCCAATGAATAGAAAACATTGTCTTATTTATATAACAGAGATTTGAGTGCATTTTTATTATTTAGCACTATGTAAAAAAAAAAAAAACATAACAAAAAAGGGTTTTTAATGTATAAAAACCAATAATCTAGGTCAAAATAACCCAGCATGTACTCTGTCTAATATTTACTCAGTGCTGATTTGGCAAATAACCCAGCATTTTTTTTAGAGCACACTTATTCTATTACATATCATTCTTTGTTCTACTTATTGACTTTTCACTTGACCTTCATGCTTACTTAATTTGAAAATAATTGAAGGCTACAAGCTAATGTTTTAATGTATCATTTACTTAAATTAGCATCAAAAATACTCATTTATTTTTTATCTTCAAAATGTTAAAATGTAACTCTTATTTTTAAGAGTTCCGATAGTTTTTGTTTTATACTGAAACTATTACTGAGAACAGTGACATTTTACTGGTATTGGTAACAACTACTT